TTTGCATGGGGATATATCCCAGAACGATGAACAATAGACAAAGTTCTATTTATACTTAAGCCTGGTAGAAAGGACCACGCTTTACCAAATTCCTCTAGACCTATAAGCCTATCTTTCTTTCTTCTTAAGACACTGGAAAAGGTTATAGATAGATATATAAGGAATGTAGCTCTAGCTACGAGGCCCATACATCAAAACCAGCATGCCTACCGTAAAGATAAATCTACGGAAACAGCTCTGATCAGTCTTATTGACAGGGTAGAAAAATCTCTGGAGGATAAAGAAATAGCTCTTTGTATCTTTCTAGATATTGAGGGCGCCTTCGACAGTAGCCCCACATCACTGCTGATTGGGGGTCTGATAAATACTGATCACATTCATAAAGATTCCACAACAATCAAGTGGGTGAAGTCAATGTTCTCAAACAGAAAGGCACAAAATAGCGCTGTTTCAAGCTTTATTTGATGTTGCAACTACAGGAGGCTATCCACAAGCAGGTGTATTGTCATCCCTTCTATGGACTCTTACGGTTGACCAACTATTATACTAGATGGCAGACCTTCGCATTGACACACTGGGATATGCGGATGACGTTGTGATCATTGTGGGGTGCTTTTGCCAAAGTAATTTATTATTAGTCATACAAAGAACCCTAAACACCATAAATAACTGGTGTAGGGATCAGTTAATGCTGATAAAACTGTTATAATAATACCCTTTACCAAAAAAAGACGGTTGGACAAATTAGTCACACCAAAACTCAATGGTACTCGTATAGTAGTACCATTCTCCACTGAAGTTAAGTACTTGGGCGTAACAATCGATCAAAAACTAACGTGGAACTCTCACCTTAGCAATGTATGCCATAAAGCAAAAATTGCTTTAGGTATGTGTAGTCCTTTGGTCGGGAACAACTGGGGCTTGCGTCCCATAATGATATTATGGCTGTACTAGCTGTAGAAGCATAGTGAGGCCGATCCTTACCTACGCCGTCACTGTCTGGTGTAACAAGGCCAACCAAAGGACGACTGCGAATAGATTAAATAGTCTACAAAGGATTGCCTGCTTTTATGGCAACTGGAGCGATGCAATCATCGCCTGGAGCGGCTCTTAAGCACTTTTATACCTAACGCCCATTGATATTTATCTAAATAAGGAGGCGAGTGCTAGTGTGTATAGGATTAACACCCAGATTGAGATCCATGCCCGACTAAATTAAAAACACCGGTCTCATGCATGATATCGGATATCAGGCGTCCACTATATACTTTTAATAAAAGTATATAGTGCAACTACCCTCCAGAGAAGAGAAAAAAGAGTTTAAAGAGTACGCAATTTGGACCCGATCCATTTTGTGGAATCTCAGAAAGCCTAACTCGATTGACCCTTGAAACTCTTTATCACAATAAATTGTTTTAGATCTGTTCTGACATACCGGGCTTAAAACACTCTAAAACCTTAATGCGGGCTTTAAAATTCGCTTCGGATTAAATAAAAAAATTGTTTTTATCAATAGCCCTAACTGGACACTGTTGTCTTAAAAAGCACATGTCCTTCTTAGGAATGAGCAACTCAACGATGTGCCGGTTCTGTTCCCTAACGGAAGAAACGCCTCTGCACATCTTAACTGATTGTGGACCCTTATGCGCAAACGTAACACTCATCTGGGAAATTATACAGGATGTTAGTGTAAACACCGTTATCCTTGAAACCAGTGGTTCACTTATAGAACATAAATTCAATGAATTTAAAAAAAAAAACGCTATTATCTTTCATAAAATTTAAAAAGTTTCTGTCCGAGACCGTCCGTAAATTCGTGGATACCCTATGCGCCCCAGTGACGTAATCACTTTAAAGACCACCGCCCACGCTACCTACCTACACTACATTCCAATAAAAACACAATAGGTACACATAGTCTGTGATGTAACTTTTCCTTCATACTTTCATCCTGGCTTAGGACGGGCAAAAATTGAGGAATTAAGGAAAAATTGAGATTTTACTAAAAAAATGTTGTTACTTTTCATTGAATTTATCTCGCGTTCTCTAAGTGAAGCCAAACCACTGGTTTCAAGGATAACGTTGTTTACACTAACAGCCTATATACTCCGCCCAGGATAAATGAAATTGCTCACAGCTAAGCAACTCCTTCTATTCATTGAAGACATAGGGCTTAGCAGTGAACTATAGCCATAGCTGCGAACACCATAGATATTTTAGGTCGCAATGGTACTGGTTTTTTTCCCTAGATCTGCATAGCTACTCGCACATAATAAAAAAAAGTGTTTTTATAGCGCGATTCTTAGAGACGTACGAGTAGCATACCTCCTAGCATTATATTCGAATTTGGGTAATTTCTAACAAATTTATAAATTTATAATATGTAAATACAAGGTTATGTTAACGCTGTAAAATTCAAAAATGCAGCTTACACCAGTCTGTTTGTTCAATGTTCATAAGTATCCTTATGAATTTTGTCTGTAGAATGGGTAGTTTTGGTTATGCGCCCAATATAATATTACACCCATTTTCAAAAAGTGTTTTCAATGAATCCTAGAGTGATAAATGAACCATTATAATTTATATATAAGTTTTTTAAAACCGAAAAGTGCCATAAAATTTACTTTTAAGAGGATATAGTAAGTCAGTTCAGATTCTAATTTCGCCCCCACTTCCCCGCGCGTACCGACTATGCTATGTACTATGTGCTATGTACCGACACGTTTGTAATCACTAATAATGTAAGTAGATAGGTCGTTAGATACTTATTTCATTACGTTTATCATATTTATGCCTGTTTCTTAACTGCAACCCAGTTTAATTTTACGTCGTCCTGTTGCGTAATGTGTATTCTGATCGTACGCGACATAACCTCCCCCTTCAAAGGCCGAAGCGAAACTGACTGAAACTGACCGGGCGGCAGGAATCAAGCTTCAAGAAGCCGATAGTTTAGATAATTTCTTTTTACAGTGAAAATAATGGTATTTTAAAAAAAGTAAATAACATAAGCACTGCTTTATAGTTAGTTCAGTTAGTATGCAAAGTTTCATGATCTTATTTAAAGTATTTTATGAATAACAGAACTTTATTGTTTATTTTGAAGGTTACTTTGGATTTCTTTTCTATCGAGAAAATTTTACGGAATCGTGTTTTCGTCTAACATAGTCCTTAACATTAATCCTCAACTTTACCATATATTTATTTCAAGCTTAATGCTGCAATATTTTCGGCATAACGGAGGATCTTGCTAAGCCATTTGAGGTTATAATATTTCCCCTTAATCTATCGTTTTAAATTTTCGCGTGGTGACAACGCTAACCACCATGCTGTTCAACTCATGACGTCACTATCCTAGAATTTTGTCGATTTTGAAAAGGAATAAGATACCTTTTAATGTTTAATAATCAGTTATCATCTATGTCGCTGTCGTGTTGTACCTGAAAAAACCCAAAAATATGATCCATAACTTTCACGGCGTTCTTATGCAGTGAAAGTTATGGATTCAAGTGTCAACAGATTTAAATATAAGAAATACTTTGCTAAAACTGACAAGTAAATACCCAAATACATTGACTACAAAAACTAGAATATTCTTCTAAGAAGATCATTTTAATGAAAGTATGATTTAACTATCGTTTAATACAAGACAAAACATCATGCGGTGAAGGGTATCGCAAGTCAAATTTTGTAATAAATTACGTTAACTTAGATATTATAACTAATGACTGCTAATTATTGTAATTATAGATAAACTAAACTATGATGCTACTAAACCATGTTTTATCAAAATACACTCTGACTTGGTATTGTGTTTTTGTATAAACAAAAGTTGGTAATAGGTACGTACTTACATTGATGTTTTAACATTACTCAATTCAGCAGAACAAAAATTGGGATTGCATGCAAAAAAATTTGCCACGATCAATTTATTTATCGTTGGTAGTACCAAAATACCGAATTAGTTATACAGTGAAAAGTATCTCCAGTTCTCTACCACTCACCATACGAAGCACAGCAGCAATGAGTTATTTTACGCTGTATTTTGTGAGAGTTTGGTCGTTACCCGGTTGAGCGTGCTACAATCATAATTAGCTGCAGCATGGCTCTACCATGTATAAAATCTTTTAGTCACGCTGCGCTGCGTCAAAATGTGATCACAAACTGTGCATTACTTGCCAGTATCAATGAATGTGTAACTGGTAATTAAGAATACTAATTTATCATATGGTTAAGAAACTTTGTTAAAAAAAACCATTTCGGGGACATGTGATTCCCAAAACACACTCTGAAGCAACATGATGGACTCTATCCTACTCTATTACTCTTACTATTATTATAAATATAAGGACAGGATACAATAGAGAGACTCGTGTCCAGTGCACCTTGCATCTTTATGGGCTGATGAAAGAAAAAACGAACAATCATTTGAGTTCTTACTTATTATTATTAACAATGTTTTTTTTTTTGTTACAGAAAAGGTCTGGTGCGTGCGTTCCCGCAAGGTTCGTGTATTTTGGCCATGTCTTGTCGCAACCAACAATTGCAAGAAATATTTAATAATCTGCCAGCATCCTTTGTTGACTTTTAGTAAAATTATATAAAGAATTTTCTAGCGTACTTTTAGTTTTATTACACACGCTTGACTTGGTTAGTAAGCTGGCGAACGCGTGACGAAAGCGTTACGAAAAGTGTAATTGGGCGAGGCGAACAGGAGTTGAGTGGGGGATCCTTTTCCTTCTCTCTTTCTTTCATAACCAGTTACGTTCCGTATCTTATGAATAATATTTTGTTCAATGCACTAAATATTCTACGGTACGGTACAAAATGTGCCGAAAAAATTGTAAATTTAAATTTTTAAAATATAATCGTAAATAAGTACGTAAATAATTTATCGATAGCTATCGATAGATATCATTAAGTATATAGTAAGACAGTTACAACTCAATTCAACTCTACTCAATTTTTTCATCTCAACTCAATTTATTCATCTCTTCATAATTCTACTTCATACTCTCTACATACAGAAGTCCGCAAAGGTTGTACAGAAAACTATTCTGGGACCCATTCTCAAAGCACTTATCAACTCTGACACATTCACCGTAATCGTTGCGCTGTAGACCCGGAGTGCAGACGCACCCAGCCACGCATAAGTTCGTACCAAACGGGTCAGTGTTGCTGCATGATGGCTGACAGCCTGCATTACACATATTACAGACTTCATTCTCGGGGCAGCAATCTAAAATTGAATTAATTTATGTTACGTAAAGTTACAGCCTTATACGTCCCACTTCTGGGCCCAGACCTCCTCTCATTTCTGAGAGGGTTTTAGGTGTCCTATGCATAGTGGTAATGTCCGCCGCGCTGCTTCTATGTGTTGGTGAACTTCACATGCCTTCAGAATATTTATTCTTATTTCTCAGACATATAGGTTTCCTCACGAAGTTTTTCTTCACCGCAGAGCACATTGTAAATCAGCAGTAAAAATTGCGATTAAAAACTATTGTATTGGTGTCGGCGGGGATTTACTCCGGGTAGCTTGCATATTGAAAAATTTACAGCGAGCGCTTAGCCCCTGAGCTTCCACGGCTCTCATTTCTATTACTTGTGTTAAGCGATTTATGTTTGATCTGCTACGCGAGATACCCGAGTTTGATCCACCTTTAACAATAAAAATGTTCACTGAGGAAAACCTTCGCGAGGAAACATGCTTAAGAAGTATGCAATATGTCTGTGCCATACAATGGGACGAATAAAGGCTTACTTTTGTGTATCATAAAATTGAAAGAATATCCGTATCCGTACATATCGTAGCCAGGGAAAGAGAATAGAAATAACGTATTCTTTGTGGCAGACATATAGTTATATTAGTGTTGCGCGCCACAGTTGATGTCGGGTACCTAGCACTAGCGCCATCTAATATCAAATTGAAGAACTAAGCTTTCTAGAAAACTCCACACTCGATTTTTCTACATCCGACTAGGTCGGGACAGGTATCTTCTGGAGCATTCTAGATGTTTTGGTGGAAAAGGCCTATATAAAGCCGTTTGTGGCCGCGACCGGGGCAGTATTGAATTGGCGACAAGAGCGAAGCTTTCGGGGCGAAATAAAGTGAACTAAAGCGTTAAGTGTGATTAATTATTAGTGTGATTTAGGTTTTAATTGGTGTTCGGTAATTAAAGTGTCAATTTTGGTAATTCAATCGGCAGTTTTTATTGTCACGAACATTAAGCTCGTAACATTAATATTAGAAACAATTTTACAATCGGTAGAGTCACGCTGCAGCTATATTATCGTTGTAGCACGAATAGTTAGGCTTGACCACGCTCTCGCAGGATGCGAGCGTAAAATAGCAGCTTAACGCTGCGTGTAAGAGAACTGGAATACTGTTTACATTGGAAATGAGGCTACCCATATCGTCCCGTGGGTTTTGTGAGAGGCGACAGAGGGCAACCAACCAGGATATGGGGAATATATTAAATTTTACCTCCTCAACGTCCAAACACTTTATTGAACATGGTTCGTATAATAAGGGTTATTATAATATTAAGGTATTTATGGATGATAATAACCTATGAGAATAAAACGATCGCTACCAAGTTATTTCTAATTTGTTTTTGTTGTTAATTGTGTAACATATATGATTGCAAGCTTTTATTACTTTTTTCTAAAAAAAATCCCGCTGGGTTCGTAGCATGTTCTACCTAGGAGGTATTTTCCGAACCAGTAGTAATTATATATATAAGAGTGACTTTTAATAAGTATTTTTAAATATATTATGTTTCTGTGTCGCAGCGTCTTCTAGTAACAACTAAAAAATAAAAAATAATAAAAATTGCGGTATAAGTCAATCTACGAGGAAGACCTATGTTAAGCAGTAGACTTTTGATAGACTTTAAAGGAGGGCTAACGATATACTTACGAAATTTTTATCTGTATAATAAAGGAAACAAAAATAACAACAGATGCAATGGGCTCGTTTTTCAAACTTAAAGTTCAAAAGCTAGTATGAGTCCTTTTGTAGGTAAATATAAATTTAAATTTATCAATCCCGTCCAGAACAAACATCTGTCAATCAATCATCACGCCGGTGTGGACGTGATGTGATTATCCTCGTGTCTAAGATAGCATCGCTTTCACGCACGACTTCTTTGCTAAAATCTTCTACCATCATCGATTTTTCCGAATCGATAGGTAGGACATATAATGGATCTTTTAAGAAAAATGCCTACTCTTTTTAAAATTACCGACAACGTACTTGCAGTTCCTTTAATGATGCAGTTGTTTATGGCAGGCAGTAGTCACATAATTTCATTTAAATAAAAAAAAACTATTTCTTGAACAAAATCAAATAACTAAAATCCGAAAAACTTTTATAACCCACATATAACCCCCACCGTGTTGTGTGTGCCATTTTCTATGCATGATGCATGAGCATGACAACCTCTTTAAAAAAATTGCTTCTAAAAAAATTACATAAGTACTCGTGTGTAGTTAACTACTCTAAGAAAAAAAAATCTTTTTGTACAATCAAATATGATAAACGCAAAACGTCATACGTTTATTTGAAGACCTACCTGGATTTAACAGCATATTACATTTTTTGTTTAAATTGTATATATTTTTATTCCAAAGGAGACGGGAACGGGAATGATGTGATGGCGACTGTTAGTCATGTTTACAGTTTGAAAACAGCATTTTTAGCTAGCCGCCGCAAGGCGAGTCAGTCGCCCCCAGTCACGCGACATCCGGGGTACCCTGTAAGTACTTACTCTCAGAATATTGATCCCATATTTCACACATGTTGATATAATAATAATAACAATCGTCTGTGTAGTATCCTGGTTTGCAGAAGCAGCCCTCTCTACAAACTTGAATGCAATCCTCAGGTTCAGGTTGGGAGCACGTTGGAGGACAAGCACTACCGCATGAATTAAACTCTTCGTTTTCGCCGCAGACTTGGTAGTCCTCCGCTAAATTAAATAAATATTTTTTTGTATGAAATTTATCCACATTCCCTAACGACAGCTTTTAAAAACTATATTAAAATATGAAACTGCGTATTTTAAATAATATTTTCACCTCAAATTTGACCAATTGCAATGATTTGTGCATCGAGCTATGGAAGGAGCTCGGACTTTCTCTGCTTGATATAATTCGTATGAGGATATCCGCGGTAGAACCAAGTAAGCTTTTTTTATAGAATAAGGGTGATAAACGCTGACACAGTCGACCTGATGGTAAGTGGATGCTATGGCCCATAGACATCTAAACTTTAACCTCGATTCAGAATCAAAATGTAGATGTGTTGTCACCCCTAAGGCCTAAGATGGAATGCCTCGATTGCAGGACTTCTTTCTTACCTAGGATCCTTTTTTTTCTTTAGGTTTGGTGAGGTACCATCCACTTACCAATTTACATCACCTCATAGCAGTGTTTCTTTGTTCCGGACTTAAAGGTGTAGAGGCAGTATATTAACAGTCTGTGAGACATACCATCTTAGTGTTTGGTGGTGATAACGCAGCTGTAATCTTCTTTATATAAAGTTGCCTGCAAATGTTCATGGACTGCAGGGATCACTTACAATTAGTTGGACTTTAATTCGTTTTCACTAGTTTTATAAATAAAACACAGAGGGGTTGCCGTTTTATGTGTGAGTGTGTGAGATTTAATGTGCTTGTGCGTATGCGTGTGCATGTGTGTGTGCGTTTGCGAATGCGTGTGCGTGTGTGAGTTAATGTGCGAGAGCAAGTGCGTGTGTGAGTTAATGTGCGAGAGCTAGTGGGTGTGCGTGTGAATGTGCGATTGCGTTTGCGTGTGAATGTGTGTGCATGTGCGTGTTCATGTGCTTGTGCGAGTGCGTGTGTATGTCCGTTTGCGCGCGCGCGCGCGATCGTGTGTGTGTGTGTGTGTGTGTGTGTGTGTTTGTGCGTGTGTGTGCGCGTGTGCATGTGCGCGTTAGTGTGTGTGTTTGCGTGTGTCTGTGCCTGATAGATTATGTTATGTATATCGTATTGCTATGTTTGACAACCGCTTCAAAAAATCGTTTCCAAATACTGTCATTTTTTAAAATCAAATAAGAGAAACGCATCTTACAATCCCTATAAGTACTTACTCTCAGAACATTGATCCCGCTTTACACAATTGTGGGTATATTCGTGTCTGTAGTATCCTGATTTACAGAAGCAAACCTTTCTGCAAACTTGAATGAAAGCCTGTGGTTCAGTTTGGGAGCATGTTGGAGGACAAGCACTACCACATGAATTAAACTCTTCGTTTTGACCGTCATCTCGGTAGTTCTCCGCTAAAATTAATAAATATTATTTTGTATAAAATGTATCCACATTCTCTAACGACAGCTCTTAAAACTATATTAAAATAATACAGTATATTTTTAAACAATATTTTAACATTAAATTTGACTGATAACAATGATTTGGGTATCAAGTTATGGAAAGGGCTATGCTCCGATTTTCTCTGCTGGATATAATTCGTATGAGGATATCCGCAGTAGAACCAAGTAAGCTTTTTTATAGAATAAAGGTGACAAATGAGCACACAGTCCACCTGGTGGTAAGTGGTTGCTATAGCCCATAGACACCTACATTTAACCTCGATTCAGATTCAAAATGTAGATGCTTTGTCACCCCTGCGGCCTAAGAATACTTCGATTGCAGTAAAATGGGTCTCTAGTTCTCTACATTCATCATACGAAACACAGCAGTATTAAGCTGCTATTTAATGCTAGTATTTTGTGAGAGTGTGGTCATTCCCCTGTCGAGCCGACCCATTTGTGATACAATCGCAATATAACTGCAGCGTGGCTCTTCCACGTATAAATATAAGCTGAAATCAAATGTGAACTGAATTGGCATTGTAACTGGTGGTGAAGTAAGGTTCTCGAGTGGTAGCCTTGTGCAAAAAAATCCTCGTAAAGAAAAAAGTGTAAGATGGCCCTCCTATAAATTAAAACAATGTTCTTTCTGTGAGAAGGAGAGCAAGCGAATGAATTTATTCAAGAACATAATTGTCATACAATCGTACAATATTTCGTAATAACACAATAGATGGCATTACTGGTATTTTGATATAATACTAACATCTCCTTATCAAAATAACATAGATGCCCACAATATTTTACACCCATCTAAATAAAATAAAATAATTATATTGTTTTTACATCCTCTATTCCTAATAGTTGCAAAAAATAATAATGCTTGGCATTACCCAAACCTTTAGTGAACAGGTCTGCTGGCATTTCAGCTGTCCAAATATCTTAGTTCAATAATTTTATCTTGTAATATATTATTTTGGTACCGAATATGAATATGTTTGGTTCTCTTGTTAAAACTACTACTTGAAGACAGCCTTAGTGCACCCTGGTTATCATTAAATATAGTTATTGTATAAGATCCATTAATAATTTCCTTTGACAAGTTGTGCAAATAAATTACTTCCCTGAAAGCATCTGCTATGCCCATGTATTTTAGATTCTGTGCTTGAGAGAGCAACTGTTTTCTGTTTTTTAGCCTCCCATAACACTATACTACCAGCTAATTTGAAACACATAATAAGACTACTGTTAATAATATTGTTTCCCCAATCTGCATCAACATACCCTTCTAATTTATCATTACCATGTCTAGTATATTTTAACTTATAATATGTAGTAAAATTCTTTTTTCATAAGCCCAAGTTACATTATCATAGCAATAATTGTTAAATTAACTAAGGAAACTTACTGAATATGCTATATCAGGTCTGGTTAATACTGCTAAATACATGAGCCCACCTATTAGTTTCTGATAAGGTATTTGACTATCACAATTTTTATTTCTTACTATATTAGCTTACAATTTGTCATGTTGAATTTTTTTTTAATATTTAGTAATGCCTAAACAATTTTTAACTTGTCCTAAATCTTTTAATTTAAGCTTTGAAGACAATACCTTTTTTAGACTATTACGTTCAATATCATCATTTGTAAACACAAAGAAATCATCGACATACAATATTATTATTGTTCTCATTTTATCCTTAATTTTAGTGTACAAACATGGTTCTAGCTTGGAGTGTTTATCACCATTGCCAACAAGACATTCATCAACTCTCTTGTACCAGGCTCTTGGGGATTGCTTTAAACCATAAATAGCTTTGTTCAGTTTAAGTACTTTATTATTGTAGTTATTTTGAGAATTTGATAAGCATTCTGGTATTTCCATATAATTGCCTTCTCAAAGATGCTGTAGTGACATCAAGGTGTGTAACATCTAAGGCATTTTTTACAGATAATGCAAACTGTAATCTCAAAGTCGAATGCCTTACTACAGGTGAAAAGATCTCTGAATAGTCCACATTTTGCTTCTGCATATAGCCCTTGACTACTAAATGGGCATGATAGCGAACACTATTATCATTGTTCATCTTTTTATGCAACACTCACACTTCACTACAGTTTCATTTTTCTTTGGCATATCTACTAGCTCCTATGCATGATTGTCCTCAAAACATTTAAGTTCTTCTTTTACTGCCTGTAACCACTATCCCTTTTCTACTCCTTGTAGCGCTTCTTCCAGATATAATCCATTAGCATCATCAAACACATCCTCCAGAATACACATATTTGACATTCCATACCTTTCTGGTTTCATTCTGATTCTGCTGGGTCTGACACGCTGCTCCCGTGAGTTATAAGCATCATCATACTCACTAGGAACATAAGTATCATCTGAGTTATCCGACATTTCGAGTAGTGTATCCTCATCCATAGTTATTTCATTTGAACTTGGTCTGTCCTTGACAATTGTGTTCCCCACTGAACATGAGTTTTCAATAATTGGTATACTGGCAAGATTCTTCTCATCTTGCATAATTATGACGTCTGCTTGTTGTCACACATTTTTTTCTAGGGTTATATATTCGGTAACCTTTAATATCATCTGATAACCCACCAGTATGTGCTCCACTGACTTTCTGACCCATTTCTGGCACTTCTTTTTAGCCACATGAACCATGACTTTGCTTCCAAATATTCGTAAGTGACTTATGTCTGGTTTGCATAAAGTCCAGACTTCATAAGGAGTCTTTTCATTCAATGCCGGAAGAACAGTACAATTTTGTAAATAAACAGCAGTGTTTGTAGCCTTTGCCCAGAACTGTTTTCCTATGTTTGCATCAAATAATAAGCATCTGGCTTTCTCTATAATTGTTTGATTATTCCATTCCGACAAGCCATTTTGTTCAGGGGTATACGGGTTATTCCTTTGGTGAATGATACTTTCTTTCTTGAGAATTGAGTCAAATTCTTTGTTACAATATTCACAATCATTATCACTTCTCAACATCTTTATTTTCTTATTAGTTTGTTTTTCAACTTTTGCTTTAAAACTGAAAAACATTGGAGTGCCTCACTTTTATGTTTAATGAAATACACATGTATCATTCGACTTAAGTCATCAATAAATAATATGAAGTACCTGGAACCTGCTAGTGATTCATACTCCATAGGTCCACATGTCATTGTGAACTAAAGGCAGTAATTTTTTGCTTCTTGAACCTTCATTTGTGAACGGCAAACGACACTGTTTACCCTCACAGCAAATTGTGCATGACATCTTGTCAATATCATTTTTTTCTTGGAGGTTCATTCTTTCTACAGCACTTGTCATTTTATTTAGGTATTTACTATTAACATGGCCCAATCGGCGATGCCAAGTGATCCCTGAGGCAGACAAATTAGCCACCACAATATCAGGTACTATCAACTTGTACACTCCATTATTCAACACAGCTGTGGCCACCAATTCACTATTTCTATTGTATACTTCACAGCCGTTTGTCGTAAACTGAACTGTATTACCGGATTTTATTAACTGGCTCACTGACAATAGGTTGGTAGTCAATTCTGGAGCGCATAATACATCCTTGACTGATATTTCAAATTCACATTTATCGGTTTTTGTTACAGTGGTCACACCTCCGGAACATAATACATGCAACCTCTCGCTGTTAGCAACACATATATCCTTCATTTTGTGGTATATAACATTCTCAATCCACTGTTCATTAACTGTTAGATGCATGCTCGCACCTGAATCAATGTACCAGTCATATCTGTTGAATTTGCCACTCAGAAACACTGCACTAAACGCTTTAGGTACTTTGTTTACGTTGTATGTCTTGTAATGACTGGTTGACTGGGCTTAGCTTGCTACATATTTATTTATCTATGACTGGGCTGTTTACATCGGTATCGGTAGTTGAGAGTTGTTGATTGTTGTTTTTATTATTCGCTTGAGAGAGCAGGCAAAGGAACTAAGCCATACAGCCTTTTCCATCGGTAGCATTTGACATGACATTTAGCGCCGCCATTGAAGTTTGTTTTCGTTGCGTTCCGTTCGTTCGATTGGTATCTCTGCGCGTTGGCCATAGACAATATATTATTTTTCTTATGTTGCCATTTCTGCGTACCGCTTGCGAATGCACCACTAACTTCATCTGATTGACCGCTTACTTCCGTTTCCACCATATACATGAGTTTTGCTCTAATGGCGTCTGTTGAGATTTGTGTGCCTGAATGTTCAATCGCCATTATCATGGGCATGAATTTTTCAGAAAGCCCCGCTAATAATAAGCAACCGATCCACTCATCACTGATATTAAATTCTGTTCAATTAACTTTTGTCCTGTTTCGACTATTTGCGTTACGTACGACTGCATGGAAACACAATTTTCTAGGCGAATCGATATCAAATTACGTAAAAGAGATATTCTTCTTGAAATCCTGAATCATCAAATAATGCCTTCCATAGCTCCAACGAAGTCTTCACGTCTTTGATGTGTACATATAACGCACTATCTATAGTAATTATTAATTTGCCTTGGTTCTAGCGTCGTCTGCGGCTTCTATTATTTTCCCGGCTTCTGGCTTGATCCAGTGCAACTTATTCTCCAGGATCAGAAAACTCTCCACCGCGAAGATCCACTCGTTGTAGTTTTCCCGACCTTTTAGCTTAGAAACATTTATTAGGTAGTTCGTTGTCATTCTTGTTAACTTTTATTGAAAATACTAAACTACTAATAAACTAATATGAATAAAAAACTAAATACACTGTGCCCATAACTTACAAAGTAAAACAACTTTCTTTCCATGGAGGCTAGAGAACAGGAGACCGATCGCTACGTACCAAAGCATAGCCCGCCTGTCCTTGAAAATTCGTAGAATTTAAGCGGCGCTGCCGTCGGTAAGTAGTGGCTGCGAAGTTAGCTGTTTATGAGTAGAAGTAGATGAAGTTAGATGAATCATGTACAAATTTTCTTCGCGGCATTGGTGCGAAAATTTTTATGCTCCGTAATTTTAGACAAAAAGAAAAATTTAAAAAATGGAGTAATATTTTTATTGCGCGTAGATGTGCAAGTGGTTTAGCCGGAAAAACAGACTGAAAATGTCTTTTATTGAGCGAACTTAGCGATCGCAGCGCCTCACTTAATGTGTCCATATTTCTGGGACACTATTTTCTACAGCGATCGTTCTCCAGTTCTCTAACCTCCATGGTTCTTTCTGTGAGACGGAGATCAAGTGAATGAATTTATTCAAGAACATAAAATTGTCATACAATAGTACAATAGTTCGTAATAACACAATAGATGGCATTACTGGTATTTTGATATAATACTAACACCTCCACTAGTTGGAGTGACGATGGCGACTTTTTAAGACATGCAGGAAGTCAGTGGATGCAGATGACTCAGGGCTGAGTACCGTAGCATTTATTGGGGACGACATAAGTTTAGCAATGGAAAATCTCGTATATCGACAAGTACTAGCGTCAAAGTTACGATATATCGTTTTTGCGATCGATAATTCATAAGATTGACGTGGCAGAAACCCAGAATGACCTTGTGGCCATCATTAAATGACACTCTAAAATCTGGTTTTTATATCACTGATGTACTACTTAGACCAGCGACTGGAAGTAGTGCCAAAGTAGTTCCAAGTGCGACAGTACTGCGATAAACCACCTGACGATTATCGCATGTACTTGTTACAAGATAAAGTTTAAGTTTCTAGGCGGTAGGACTTCTTTTCTACCTAAGATTCCTTTTTCCATTTAGGGTTGGTTACAGTCCACCTGATGGTAAGTGGATGCTATGGCCCATAGATATTTAAATTTAACCTCGATTAAGAATCAAAATGCAGATGCGTTGTCACCCCTAAGGCTTAAAATGGAATGCCGCGATTGCAGGACTTCTTTCCTGCCTAGGATCCCTTCTTTCCTTTAGGTTTAGTGAGGTACCATCCACTCACCGATTTACATCGCCTCATAGCAGTGTTTCTTTGTTCTGGACTTAAGGGTGTAGAGGCAGTATATTAACAGTCTGTGAGACATACCATCTTAGTGCTTGGTGGTGATAACGCAGCTGTAATCTTCTTTATATAAAGTTGCCTGCAAATGTTCATGGACTGCAGGAACCACTTACAATTAGTTGGAATTTAAGGGGATATAGTAAGTCAGCTCAAATTCTAATTTCGTCCCCACTTGCCCGCGAGTCGTATGCTATGTACCGACAAGTTTGTAATCACTAATACTGTAAGTAGAAAGGTCGTTAGACACTTATTTCATTAGGTTTATCATATTTATGCCTGTTTCTTAACGCCAAGCCAGTCGCTTCTTATTTTTATTACGGTTATTTCCCATTTTAATTTTACGTCGTCCTGTTGCGTAATGTATATTCTGATCGTAAGCGACACAACCTCCCCCTTCAAAGGCCGAAGCGAAGTGACCGGATGGCAGGAATCACGCTTCAAGAGGCCGATAGTTTAGGTAAGTTCTTTTTATAGTGAAAATAATAGTATTTTAAAAAAAGTAAATAACATAAGCACTGCTTTATAGTTAGTTCAGTTAGTATGTAAAGTTTCATGATCTTATTTAAAGTATTTTATGAATAACAGCGGTTTATTGTTTATTTTGGAGGTAACTTTGGATTTTTTTTCTATCGAGAAAATTTTACGAAATCGTGTTTTCATCTAACATAATCCTTAACATTAATCCTCAACTTTACCATATATTTATTTCAAAATTAATGCTGCAATATGCAATATTTCGGCATAACGAAGGATCTTGCTAAGCCATTTGATTATATTTCCCCTTAAGTTCGTTTCCACTACAGTTTTATAAATGAAACACAGAGGGATTGGCGTTTTATGTGTGAGAGTGTGTGAGATTTAGTGTGCTTGTGCGTGTGCGTGTACGTGTGCGTGCGCATGTGCGTGTGCGTTTGCGAATGCGTGTGCGTGTGCGCGTGCGTTTGTGAGTTAATGTGCGGGAGCAAGTGCGTGTGTGGGTAAATGTGTGAGAGCAAGCGTATCCGTGCGCGTGTGTGTGCATCGTTTTCAGTTAAAAGGGTCTCCGGTTTTCTACACTCACCCTACAAAACACAGCAGCGTTAAGCTGTTATTTTACGTTATTTCTCTATGAGAGCGTGATCCTTCACCGGTCTAGATAACTTAATCGTGTTTCAAATAGAACATAGCTGCAGCAGTGCTCTATCATGTATTACGCTCTAAAGTTGTTTTTAATATAAAGCTTATTATTAAATAATTAGTTTTTAATGTAGTGGAGACTTGATTACTAGATAAGGATTTCCATGGTATAGCATTACTTGATGATAATAATTCTTTAATCCTTCATTAATTTTCAAATTAAAGCAACGTTATTAAAATATAACGAAATAAATCATTCTATAGGTATCTAAATTAGTAATTTACTTTAACATTCATGTTACATAAACAAGTTATGTAAAATTTGTTGTTTAGGAACAGTTAAGAAAATTATAACCGCTTACCCTTAGCAATATAATAACCGCTTGT